TTTAGGTTTATTGTTTTTAAACTTATTTAATAATAAACATACATTTTGAAGTAGACATGAAGATATATTTATTGGGCAGAAAGACCTCAGTTTTCAAATTCTAATGAAATTTAGTAAATAATGTAAGTGCTTTATCTAAACACAATATCGAATTACCACTTAGAAATATGCAGGAAACGTATCGATTTCATATTGATAAATACTTCTATCTGTAAATAGTCTTTACAATGTAAAACAGACGTAAATATAAACAGGTGAAGACATAAACATTGATGAATTGAAAATGTGAAATTATATATATATTTTTTTTGTTGATTAAGTGTCGATACATGTACGAGATTGAAGTGCATTTAGTATCGAATTGCCTCGATGAGTAATCGATATAACAGTCTTCTCCGAACTCAATCTCAGCATAAATCTCGATGTAGCAATTAACGTGTCATCCGCAACCATTGCCACCAGTTAAATCGTTAAACCAAAATAAAGTTACCGACGAAAATAGAGAAGCGTAAATCAATTTTAAACCGCGCCGACGGAAGAAATAAATCAATTATTTAATAACTTTGATATTCAACAGTTCACAAAAGTTAAACAATGTATGGTGGGTGGTCGGGTAAATGATATTTGTTAGGTCAGAAAAACCTATGGTCAATAGCACTTTATAGTGGATCAATTTGTTTGTATTTTCTTGTTATATTATGTTTTTTTTTTAGTATGATTTGTTACAATTATTATTGATATTAAAATACTTAATATTTCTTAGTCTCAAAGCAGAACATAAAGTGCTTAGTTTAGCATTAATTTATTATAAAATTTACGTAAAAAAATAAATCTTTCTTAATTTAGACGTCGAAAGAAATGTATAATATTAATGCATACAATTATTGATTGACAAATAATAAATGGTGATTTATGTAAATGACCACCATGTCTTTTCTGCACAAAACAAATTTATAAATGTTTCATGAAACTTTCTTTATGTTAATAATATAGAAAAAAAAAACTGTTAAATCTTAATGATTGAAGAATGAAAGTTATTGCTGGTAAAGTCTTTGCTTATAAGAAATCATAATGGATAAGGAATGTGCTAAGTGATTCATAATTGTTATCTGCAATTAACTATAGCAATTTGTATTCAAGTGAATGAGAGGTACTCACACTGTAGGCACATATTCTCCTGGAAAACTATCTGTGGTGTATGATATAAGCATGCAGGTTTTTCCAACAGTTCCATCACCAACAACAACACATTTTATTGGCCTCCCAGATGACATCCTTCCCAGCGAACTCTGCAAAACAAGGAGCATTAATAAATAAAAGAAACTTTGGTAAACATGTGAAATGGAAATGTATATAAATAGAATAATTGTATTCATCTAAAAATATAAATGTAAAACGTGAATCTACAAATATAAGAAATAATTTCTCAGATAGTACTAAACTATGGAGTTTATTAGAATATTAACTAGTAAATCCACCCTTAGCTGGATCCACTTTAAAGTTGGAATTAATTTGAATCTGTGCAATTGCAGCGAAATTCTACTATTGCAGTGCAGATTGAATTAGAAAGGACTATCAAGTGGGTTAAAGGTGTTGAGAAACAACTGGAATTGTTTACTATTTGCTTTATCTGGATCGTATGTGGGCAGGCAGGCAGGGATAACCTAAAAAATTGGGCTTGGTCCTATATTATACCATAAAAGTAAATACTCACTGTTGTTGGACTACTTCACAATCGAGCACGAAGACGCCGGACAACGGACACCGCACTGCACGTACTATCAATGGGAATCTTACTGGACTATTAACACAAACAAACGCACATCAAGGGACACCGACGAATTCGGATGAGAAGAGTTATGATGATTTTGTATAATTCTTCGATTATTCTTCGGGCTCCAACAACAAAATCATACCAACTGCCGTTAGTTACGCATGGATGCGCTGTTCAAGAGGGCAGCACCTTCTGGTGGCTCGCAAGATAACAATATCCAATTTGATATTCCTGTATCCTAAACCTACGTACAACCTATTTATCGAACCAATCAATGAATTGGTTGTGACCACTCAAATCCATTCATTACTATACGTAAAATTATGAAATACAGTAACACCACCTACTGATTAACTGACCCAACTTCATCTGACATTTAACATAACCTTAATTCGATACACCTATCTAATACAAATTGATACAAATATTGTTTTGTCGTAAACAGTAAAGTTTAAAAAATGACTTTCAGCCCTGTGACCCATGTTATATTCGATATGGACGGCCTTCTCTTAGGTTTAATTTTTAAATATTTCACAAACAGTTGAGTTAAAATCTTTTACTTTCAGATTCAGAGAAAGGCTATGATAAAATCATTAGCAGCATTGCCTCTAAATATGGTAAAGAGTACACCCACGAAGTGCACATGAAAATCCTGGGAACACCTGAGCAGGAGACAGTGAGGTTGGCTGTGGAGCTTATGGAATTGCCCATCACCAAAGAGGAGTTCTTCCAGCAATACAAGGTCAAAATCCAAGAGGAATTGAAACATCCACCTCTGTTTGCTGGTTTTTTAAAGTAAATTGCTAGGTGATAACAATTACTTGATCATCTTGTAGGTGCTGAGAGGTTGCTGAAGCATTTGCACAAGCACAAAGTACCATTTGCTTTGGCCACTTCATCCTCAAATGAAGCAACTGAATTGAAGACATCCCATTATAAGGAACTCTTTGGGTTGTTCTTGCACAAAGTGATGGGCAGTTCTGATCCTGAGGTGAAGAAAGGCAAACCTCATCCAGACATTTATCTGGTTTGTGCATCAAGGTTTCCAGATAAACCAAGCCCAAGCAATGTTAGTTGGTATCAATGAGAAGTACTTTGTGTTGAAAGATATTTTATTATTTTTCAGTGTCTGGTTTTTGAGGATGCTCCTAATGGGGTGAAAGGCGCGTTGGCTGCTGGTATGCAGGTTGTCATGGTCCCAGCCCCAGAGGTTGAGGAAGAACTAAGAAAACCGGCAACTTTGGTGTTAAATTCGTTAACCGAATTCAAACCAGAAGACTTTGGTCTACCCGCGTTTTAAAACGAAACATATTGCCATAATAAATAGTGCTTTTTATATGAATTAAGTTCCTAGCGAATGATGTATATTTTATATTTTATTTTATCTTTTTTTTTAAATATATTCTAACTAGTTACAAACATTTTATTTCCTAAGTAAATCAATCGATTTGATCTTATTAACGATTAGTTCAAGGATAAAACCTAAAATGCTGAGGCAAATACCGATGATCAAGACGATAATCGCCGCGTTCAGATGATTCAAATTCAGATTGTGGTAACTGTTTATGGTCGCTTTAATCCTGTTCTTGTATATATTTATGAAGGCGAATTGATATAACTGAATTCCGTTCTCTATAAACGCGTCGATGATGCTTTCGAATTTCTTCACGTACGGCGATTTCTTTCGAAACATGTAGGCTTGAAAGGCTGGAATCATAGGTTTATCCATCACGTGAAAAATATCATCCCCAAATTTACGATAAATCAGATTGAAGATGTACTGCACTAAGACCTCGTTAACCGCATAAGCTGAGTTGACATTCCCGTTCAATATATCTTCCATGTAATCTTCAGATACTACAGTAATATATCTAAGATCTTCAGGAACTTTATGCACTATTTCCTTTAGGACTTTGATTTTCAAGTTAGATTCTTTCAGCTCCTCGAATGTGTTGATCTGCGGGAAAAACCTCTTAGTGATTATAACCTGAAGGAGGGAGGATGTGAAGCTCCAAGAGATTATCAGAGCACCGTGTATCCAAATGATCAGAATCAAGCTCGTCAGTTTCTGGTATTTCTTGAAATTAACATTCGCCATTGCGATGAACGTAGTAAATATGGTAAGAATAAACATTTTTTTTTCGATTAAATACAGCAGGGTGATGATCACGGTGCTCATGCATGCGAGCAATATCCAGATTTCGGTGTTGAAGATGACCATGACCTTCTGGAATTGGCTGATTTCCAAAGATGTTGGTACTAGGATCACAATGTCGTCTCTTGTTGCGGGAGTGCTGTAGGTGACCCCTTCGAATAAACCGTAGAACCACGTGTTCGTGCTTGCCTCCGATTCGTGGTTTTGAAGACTCCTCACCGCTTGCTCTAAAGTTTTCGGTGCGTATACTATAGGAGTTACCCTAGTTTCCCTTCTGAATTGAAGCAAAGTGAACAAAGCTACGCTTTTACGTTCTCCCTTATAATTAATGTAATATTGAGGGAAATCATCAATCACCGTAACTTTAATATTCCTCAGCTGTTGATCGTCGAAGATGTGTTCGACCAAACCGTCAAAGTACAATTTATCCTTGAAAGGATTGTAAAATATACGAAGAGTAGCATTGTCGTGCTTCAAGAATATATAATAATTATATACATCCAAGGACCAACATATTCGACACAATCTCAGAACTTCATCCAAATCGTCAACATCACCAAGAACAGTGAATATAATATCAGCGTAAAGCTTCAATTTGTTGTTGAACTTTTCCATGAACACTTGCAGATCGAACAAAGAATTCACGATGATCTCCATGAAATCAAATTGCACCAAACTTCCTTTATAGTTTTGATCTATATTATAGAAAGATTGGAGATCTCCCATTTTCTCAAAATATTCATCCTCGATGCTCCCAAATATTATGGTCGTTCTAATCGATGAAACTTCAGAGATTAAAAGAATAATCGCAATCGTTGTTAACAGTCTCATGGTTGTATTGATATTAAAGCAAAACGCCTTGAGAAAAGTATCGGTGTTTGTCTTTTAAGTGCAAGACATTATGATTAAATTAATAGAATTTATGGGATATTAAACTTGATGCGTAGTGTGCCATTTATGAGTGCTTCTTCGGCGCATTAAATATTAATGGAAATTGCGTTTGACCGTGAATCAAAAGCACTAAGTTCGTAGAATCATTTTTGTTTTGTAATGATGGATGCAAATGATGAGCCTAATGGGAAAGTAATGCTACATTAGCTTCTCCTAATTCAAACTTATTTTGATTTGGAACTTATACTTTTTACTCTTTATAATGTTCTAGTTATGAAATTAACTATAATTTTGATAAATTCTAATTCAAGACATAAATACATGAATTGAAATAATTTATAAAAAGAAAAATACATAAAATTTAAAATGAAAGAAAGTAACCGTTTGATTTATAGCGCATTTTGATCAAAGCAATTTCATTTAGGGAATAATGTGTTCAAACGCATTATTCATATCAAACTATTCGTACAAAA